CCTCATACAGATCGGTTTCAGAGGCTCTGGCTCTCAGCCTGACTCCTGATGTGGGGAACCCACTTCTGTAGAGGTCCATTTATTTTAGCATCATCTTATGTGGCTAAAGATGGTTCTTCAAGGGTTCTTTAGTGAAGACAGTGGTTCTCTATACACTCAAAGAACTCTTTGTGCGCTTAAAAGGGTTCTTTGCAGGGTGAAATGGTTCTTCAGATTGATGGAGAATGTGCTGTATATGGTTCTGGTTCTTCTATTATTACAAGGTTGACATCATAACAACCCTTTTTGGTGCTATGTAGAACCCCTTTATCCAAATGGTTCTTGAAGTGTGCATGGTTCTATATACAACCATTGTCTTTATCAAAGAACGCTCTGATTCCCTTTTTAACTTTCTGCAAACGTCTGAAATTATAGAACGCTGACACGCCCCCTAGTGGCCATACAGAGAAATATTTTTCCCTGTGACTGTGTTACCAGATGAACTAGGGCACTGTTGTCTCTGTGTGTGTGAATGTTGTTGAGCTGCTAGTGAGCAATGAGGGGTGAAAGGGGAGGGGTGAGAACCCCCTGCTGTGAAAAACTATTCACACCCCATCCACAAAGACGGCTGTGCTGAGATAAAATGGACATCTACAGCTTTCTTCATATCACACAGTCCTGCACAACTGACACAATAAACACGTTTCTAGAAATGTTGACATGGTCACTTACAAAGACGAGAATCTAGTTCGCGTCCGATTGTGTCAGTCATTTCCATTTCCATCGAAATATATATATATATATATATATATTATGAAAGTTTAGGGAAGAAAAAAATGCACAGTTCAATTGAGGGAGCTCCTTCAAAACAGACTCAAATAGCATGTTATGGCTTCTGTGAAATGGGGTTAAAAATCTTGGCATTTGAAATTAATTCACAGCTGTTGAGCTTTAAGAACACAAAAAAATTGATTATATTTAACTATAGGAGAATCATCTTAAATGTATCTATGACTTGTGTCTAAATTATTGTCTGTGACTGTAGATATTTTGCGTAGAGATCAGTGGGGAACACTAACGGCCTTCTACTGTATTAATGTAATAGAATCATCATGCTTGTTATATTGAAGTAATACTTCTGTTAAATTTCTAAAATTTGTTTGGAAAGAAAAGTATTAAGATCTTAAAAATTGCCCAATCTGCATTTTTTAATTCATGGCATCTATGTAGATACAGGCGAGCTCTCCCATTGGTTAGGACTTCAGGAGCTGGACTGAAGGCCTTACACGTTTTCAAACACCCACTAAACCTAGCAATTAACAGGTCAGTTGAATCAGGTGTGTTTGAGCAGGTAAATCACCAAATTGTGCTGAACACCAGCTCTCCAGGCCTGGAGTTGTGCACCCCTGCTCTAGGTCTTCTAGAAGGTCTGTAGAGAATATAAGCCGTAGTCTAAGCAGGTTCCGGTTGGTTGTTAGGAATGGAAAACAGCGGCAGCAGCTCTCTTCACTGCTACAAGGTGAAATATGTGTTAATGTCTTTTACCAGCTTTAAACGTCTGTGTTTGATCTAGAAGAACCCAAAAATGTTCATGTACACCAAAGTTAGCTCAGTGCTAACATACTATTGGAACTATAGTGGTGCTAGCAGAAGGTAGCATTATTATAGAGGTGTTTTTTTTCTTCTTTTCGACCACGTTTTGACGTTTTTGGACCAAACTGAAGTCCTGAAGAGTCACACTTCACCACTGACGGAGATTAGGAAGAAAAACACTGGAGGATTCTTTTAAATGCTGGAGTCTTACATTCATTAAAAGGTTCTAAAGTGGTTCTTCTGTGGCACTCTTTTTTATTTGTGTTTGTCTTTATGTTTAATAAGGTAGTTAAAGTGTTTTTGATGCCAGCTGTCACTAGAAAATAAACTAAACAAGCAATGTTTTGAGTTTTCCACTGAATGTTTTTTAAACATACAGCATTTTTGTTGACAACAAAACAGTTGCAAGTGCTAAACTGTGCTAGCTGGGACAGTGAGCTGATGCCCACAGTGACCCCAGTGACCAGCAGGACAATACAGCACGGATGTGATGTAAAAATAAAATCTAGGCCGAACCCAAGATCAGAGAGAGAGAGAGGTCACTGCAGGACAGGTGAGGCAGAGCCAGAGGTACATTTCCTACTTAACTGCCCAAAATGTGAATTTATCAGGAATAAATATTTGAATAATTTTTAAAGAAAACATATAAACGACTTCAGGAAACTGGGAGATGACGATGATGAATTAGCGGTCATATTAGGAGAGAGTCGATCAGCGTCCACTGCAGCCAGATATGTGTATGAATGTCTCACTGTTATATATGTATATATGTGATATAGTGTTTTTCCTTCCTAATTACACAGATATATTACATTACATTAGATACATGCATATATCAATTAGTTTTCATTGTTTTTATATTATTAATTGGTATTATTAATTGGTAATTGACATATTGAGCTCCATTCACCCTCATTCATTGAGGACTCGCTCGCATGCACCCTCTGCTGTTTTGCAGTCCTGTTTTTAATATAATGGGGGAAATAGGAAGAGGCCAGGCTCCTCTTAAACCGGCTCTGCACTCTTCAGCTCTCAGCTCTTGACTCAACTGTTCGTTCCGTAAATACACCCTTCAGAATAAAAGTCCCTAGCAAAATAAACCCAGAGAATATCTGCAGTAGAACTAATAGCTGCTGTCGGAACCAAAAACAAACAAACCTCGTGCCTCCAAAAAAGGTAACGTTACAGGAGAAGGAAAAAACATACCCTACTTTTAATGTAAGTAAGTTGTGAGTTTTTTTCCAAGTAGTTTTGGGCTGTTTCTTTCAGTCCATTCATCATGAAATTTACACACAATGTAAAGGACAACAGGCAAACTGAATATATCGCTGCTGTTGGATGAAAAAACTTGTATCTCCAATTTTGTGATTTGTTTTTTTTGTTTTTCAGTTTTTGACATAATTTGAAAATAGCTGTTCCTCTTTACACTGTGTTTAAATTTCATGATGAATGGACCAAAAGAAACGGCCCAAAATGACTTGGAAAAAATTCTGGTTCCATTGACTTACATTAAAGTAAAGTATGTTTTTTCCTTTTCCTGTAAAGGTACCATTTTGGAGATATGAGGTTTTCTTTCCAACAACAGAGATACATTCAGTTTTCCTGTTTTCCTACATTGTGTGTAAATTTCATGATGAATGGACTAAAAGAAACATATATATAACATATATATAAGCAAACATAGACATGAGAGAGAGCGAGAGAGGAAGAGAGAGAGAGAGAGAGACTGACAGAGAGAGAGAGATGTTTAGATTAAGGGCAGTGGTTGATTGCTCTTATCATTAGAGCAGAGTAAATCAGATAAATCAGATAAAGAACCTCTCACACGCATCCAGTTGTCCCGAATCTGATCTGTATGTAATGAGGAAAATGCAGTACGGGTTGCCAGTTGCTGGCTGCAAGTCACTCCTATCAAGATCAAACCAGGCTGCAGTGTACTGTGTGTATAAGCCTGTCGGGCTGTGTGGAGATAATGTGTGAGATGTATGTGTGAAATGAAAAGTGGAATTCAGCTTTAGAGCGCAGAGCGAGTGGCGCTGTAATCCCTCTCTGCCTGAGTGTGAGGGGAGTTCGGAGGCATCGCTAAACGAACTCGTATAACCCTCACATTCACAGCATTTCAAAGACCTCTCTCTCTCTCTCTCTCTCTCTCTCTCTCTTCACTATATCTTAATCATCCAGTGCACGGTATCTCTGAGGAGGCTGCTTATCAGCAAAGAGAGGGAGAAGGAGGAATCTCTGTGTATGTGTTTTTAAAGGGGAATTCCACCATATTTCAAAAAAATTATGCATAATTAAATGGTCAAAGTCATGCAGAGTGCTTTGATGTGAAGTGACCCGTTCCAGAGAAGCTCAGTCATGGTGGAGAGCTACATGCAGGGTGTTGTGAGGCAAAAGAAAATGTATTTATTTTATTATATCTCTATTTTCCATCATCAACATTCCATATATAAGCTCAGAAGACTCGTGTAGGTTCACTGGTGTTTTTAAATAGTAAATAAAATGTCTATATTTGTGTTGTAGTCATGACGACCCCTGATTCCTATCACCACCACTGTAAAGACATTTTTCAGTTTTTGACCTAATTTGAAAATGCCTGTTGTTCTTTACATTGTGTGTAAATTTCATGATGAGTGGACCAAAAGAAACGACCCAAAATGACTTGTAAAAAATTCTGGTTCCATTGACTTACATTGAAAGTAAAGTATGTTTTTGCCTTCTCCTGTAAAGTTACCATTTTGGAGATTCGAGGTTTTGTTCCAACAGCAGATGTGTGTGTTTATTATTTGAGAGCTTTGGCAGTTTTGGTAGTCGTGTTTATTAGTTTCTGTGAAATCTCACCCTCTGGAGTTTTCTGAATTTGAGAGGTGTGCAGGCAATCAAGCTAATCTCCTCGTAGCTTTTTCTGGAGACCGTACCTAAAGTGTTTGTGGTCATTCTGGTCTATTTCGCTTGGTCTTCATCCACCTGCAGCAGCGGTGACGAGATGAGCTGTGTCTGCGTTCACTGCAAAAAATAGTATCTTGTCAAGTGAAATTATCTTAATTCTAGTTGATCTATTTAATATTTCTCATTTTAAGATGGTTTCTAGACATTTATTACCTGTTTTAAGTAATTTTATTAAGTAGAATTATTTTCTTAAACAATTTCTTACAACAAGCACAATTATTTACCAGCATAGTGAGATAATTTTACTTAATAAAATCATTTAAAACAAGTAAAAATGTTTGGAAATGAGTTAAAATAGTCTTTAAGCTAAAAACAATCTCAACAGGAGGAATATTAGATTTATTGACTAGATTTAAGATCATTTTAGTTGTCAAGAAACTATTTTTTTGCAGTGTTAATGATGTAATAGAATACTACGAACTGGAGTTCCTCAAATCTGTTTCCTGACAGTGTCTTTGTCTCTGTGTCTGTGTTTGCAGGAGCGAGTGGAGTATCTCTTCCTCATCATCTTCACAGTGGAGGCGTTTCTGAAGGTGATTGCGTACGGGCTGCTGTGCCACCCAAACGCGTACCTGAGGAACGGCTGGAACCTGCTGGACTTCATCATTGTGGTTGTAGGGTGAGTGAGAACGTTCAAGTTTCTCAGACTGTCCAGGCAAAATCTTAATGATTCCTATACAAGACCCCTGCACTGCTGTCCACTCAGACATCTCCTCTGTCTTACTTCAGTACCTTTCTTCTTCATGGCGCGATGGTAATGGTGCTTCGTTAAATAAACTAATGAATTCACATTTTGATGCCAAAGAAAAGTAATCTCTGCATTTTAATAGGCCTTTGCTGCCTTCTGCCTAGATCTGCCTTCTACTGCTTTAACGCTTTACTGCATGGCGTTGCCTTATGGCAACAAATATGAACAATAAAAGAAATATGATAATTAAAAAACTTTGTTTTTGCAACATGAAGGGAGATTGAAAAAGAAACTTTCTTGTTCAAAAATTAAACCAATTGAGGCATTTATAACCATCATTTCTATGCATCCAATCATCCAGCAATACAGTGATGCAATGCACCGTTAGAAAGCTTTAAATCTCAGGATCCGATTCCCACAAACCGTTTTATGATCTGTTATTTATTCACAGCAGTTATGATCATCTCTTCTGCAACATAAGCACCGAATGAGCAAGCGCTATCAAATCTGTAGGTCCTCACCTTCAAAGCCTCGCCGCCTCCACAGAGACACCATAATCCAAAACATGTGGTCTGATAACACTGCAAGAGTCAGAGATCAGTTTAGAGATCTATGAGTTAGGAGGAAATAAACTCCTCCATTCTAGACTCTGTTACTCTGTGCCACTAATTCATACAACTATTGTTTTTGTTTGGGAAAAACTTGAGTGTTATCTTTCAAATGAGGCCAAGATCGTGACTGCAGCCCAAAGTATGTGGGAACAGCGCCCCCTTTAGTTTGGGTATGCCGTTTTAGGCAAAAATGGGGTGAAAGTTAACAGGTTAGAGAACCATTGTTTGTGACCGGAGGACAAATAGAGCTCAAATTGGTGTGTGTTGGGGGGGTGTAGAGGGCATATTTGCTTTATTATTGTTTGGAAGTCTGGCATCTGTCGTATAACACTGACAGGTTTTAGTCTGGGCTGTTTGGGGTAATTTGGGGAAATCACACAGATCCCATACAAATTAGCCAGTGAGATCATGGACAGACTAAATTACTGGACATTACTGGACATCCTCTGGTACATCTTCTGGTACATTTTAGGACATCCTCAGATCTCAGAGTCAGAACAGCATCATTCCTCAAGCTAAACTTCTTCGAGTTTACTGACGTCTCAGATCTGGTGTAACTGAACATCAGGCCAAACAGCCTCAGACTAAATGGCCGCAGAAAAAACTGTGAAAATGTTATACTGGCATTTATATCAAGATATACAATAGTTTTCTAAGTTATACGAACCAGTTTTTGCTTGACCAGGCTTGCGTTTGGTCTGATACCTTTTTTCTGAGGCCGTTTGGTCTGACGGCGTTTGGTCTGATGTTCAGTTTTACCAGATCTGAGACCTGACATCGTTTCGCTTGACGAACGATGCTGTTCTGACTCTGAGATCTGAGGATGTCCTAAAATGTACCCCGTAGCCCCGCCTAGTGCTAATTAACATATATTTGCATGTTGGTCCATTTGAAAATGAAAAAGCAAAGTGGGAAATGAAAAGTAAATCTCCAGCAGGTGGCGCCGATGTTCGTTTGAATTTGCCTCTTCATTCTGACACCTAAAGCGCGCCGACGCCGAAAACTGGATCACAAACTGTCACTTTGCTGTTGATTTATCCATTTTCATTTTTCATTCATTCATGCATTTTCATTTTGTTGGATATGAAGCCGATTGCTGTGAAAAAGAAATAAGAACTTAAACATTGCAATTTGATTTTAGTTTTGACACGTATTACGCATTTCATGAAGAAAAGCCAAAGTGAAGCTTGTATTTTCTTTTCTTTATTAGCTTTTCCATTTTAGATACGCCCATGAAATACCAGAATAAGGACTAAAATGAAATGACAAACAGCTGTTTTAAATTTATTTTTATTTTTGTCACAAATGGCTCGGGCTTATGTGAAAAATGAAATTGCAAATGTAGGTATTTCATTTCATTTTCATTTTGGCAGGATATTTGTGCAGATGTTTGGAAAAAGAAATGGCCAAAAGAGGTTTGCATTTACATTTTATTGTTTAATTGTAATTTCCTCTTTTGGCCGGATTTGCCTCCCATACTGGTAAAACTAATCCAGCTCCTATAGCTAAATAGAGGCTTAACACATATTTTTACACCAGTCTTACACCCTGAAAAGAAGCGTTTTGGTGCCGCACCAAAGCAGGTCTCAGTAGAGATCTGTCAGCCTCCTGAATCTGCGGTACATGCTGACCATGCTGGGCTTTCTTCTCCTGCTGGAACTTCCCTTTCTACAGTGAAGCAGGGCTGCTGGGAGGTGTGTACTCCCTGCAGCATGTCATTTACCTGCTGCTGAAGGTTCTCCTTGGTTCTCGACCTTGGTGGACTGTTACAGGTGATGTGCAGTCTGGCTGTGATGGGGCCGGCGTGGACAGGAGCGTGTCTGAATGTTCTGGAAACTCCTGAAGGTTGTACAGCTGAAAGAACTGACTGAGATTAATGTGAGGCCGACATTGGAGCCATAAATGTCTTTCAGAAGTTGGTCTTCACTTGTAGTTTCAGAGAATTTCAGAGATTTACTGGAGAAGGGAGGAACCACTTCAATACAGAACTGGAAAAAAGTTGGAAAGAATGCATGGATATTAAAAGAGTACCGAACATCCACCCAACTCCAACTCCAGCTACCATCTAAAACAAAGCAACCTGTCTAGGGGAGGTTTAGAGGTTGGATCCCTAGGCTGTTGGCTATGGCTACGTTCACATTACAAGCCTCGTTGCTCAAATCCGATTTTCTGCTCAAATCCGATCTCTCTGATATGGTGGTTCACACTTGTTTAGGTAAGTGACTCAAATCTGTCATTAATGTGACGAACCAGCGTCTTGAAATGACCCTCATGAGCTCATCCTACTCAGTAACGTCACGTGAATGAATCACTGCATCATCAGCACAAACTAACGAGCAGAACGAGCTTCGCTGAGAAGATAATTAACTCTGATCAGCTCTCAGCTTCATTATTAGAGCGAGACGAAGGAGAAAAAGTTGAGATGAGCTGCTTTTCCACCGTTTACAGGCTTTAACTTCTGTTTGGCGCTGCTGCCATGGTAACGCTGAACGATGGAAAAAAAAGCACATGAATTCCGATCTGAGCGTCACATTAAGGTCTCATGGCCACGAATCAGATACGTATCCAATCTAGGACCACATATAAAAGTGGCTCAGGTCGGATTTGAAAAGATCAGATTTGTGTCCACACAGCTCTGAAAACATCAGATCTGAGTCACATTAGGGCAAAAAATCGGATTTGCACCACTTCAACCTGGTAATGTGAACGTAGCCTATGTGCTGCACAGTGTTTAAGGCTAAACTGTGTCTGTGTAAGCTGAGGAGGGTCCACCCGTCTCACCTGAAGACCCCTGGCCAACCCAAACGCTGGCTCTGTAGCCGGACAGCCCAAGCATTGAGATGAGTAAGTTCAAAAGGGAAGGTGCATAAAGGCACAATATTAGTATATAACAATTTCCGGACGTTGCGTGAGAGATTTGGGTCCTTCTTGGCTCAAACACGTGCTGTAACTAGGCCCTACTCCTGCATCCAGAGTGGGGCTGTGTCTAAAAACCCTGGCAGTCCTCCTCCTCTCCTACGTGACCTGGAAACTGATTTAATGACGCTGTTTTACTGTCCGAATACCAAAGGAGACCAGAGAAGCTGCTTAAAATGCTTGTCGATGAAGCTTCAAGCAGAGGATGCAACCCTGGAAGACCTTTATACTTTAAATTCTGTGTTGTTTGTGTTTATATGTTCTTTGCATTGTGCACTTAGTTGGTGTAAAATAAAATAAAAGGGTTCAAAGATTGGCTGGCTCTGTGAAGCTGTGTAGAGTTGTGCTTTTGAGCAAATGTTGTCATAGACTCATCAGTAGTCAACATCCACTTTAACGGCGCTGAAAGGAGTCAGCTGTCCCATTTCCCCTATTTCTGGGGAGGACAGGAGCAGTAGCAAAAGTTTCTGGACACAGTGTAAGCAGAGAACTTGTAGAGAGGAGAATTACCGCTTTGTTATGTCTTCCAGGCTTCTCAAACGCCAGAGGGCGCTCCCGAGCGAGTCTGAAATGAATGGGTTAAGATGGAGCATTTGAGTAAAATCAAATTTTATAAATGTTCAAAAATTGTAATATAAAAGATTACATTCATATCCTGAACACAGAACAGCATAAAAATTTTAATCCTGCTGTTATATTTTTGATAGTTTAAACTCGAGTTATAGGAGTTTTGGCACCTCATGTATATTCATAATGTCGGTGAACACAAACAGCTAATGAGCTGCTCCGCTCGCCAACCAATCAGCGCTCAGTAGAAGTAAGGCTAACCAGTCAGCTCTCAGTAGCAGTAATACTGGCCAATCAGTACTCAGTAGCAGTAATGCTAACCAATCAGCGCTCAGTAGCAGTAAGGCTAACCAATCAGCACTCAGTAGCAGTAATGCTAACCAATCAGCACTCAGTAGCAGTAATGCTAACCAATCAGCACTCAGTAGCAATACTGCCAACCAATCAGCACTCAGTAGCAGTAATTCTACCTAATCAGCCCTCAGTAGCAGTAATGCCAACCAATCAGTGCTCAGTAGCAGTAATGCTAACCAATCAGCACTCAGTAGCAGTAATGCTAACCAATCAGCACTCAGTAGCAGTAATACTAATCAATCAGCACTCAGTAGCAGTAATGCTAACCAATCAGCACTCAGTAGCAGTAATGCCAACCAATCAGCACTCAGTAGCAGTAATGCCAACCAATCAGCGCTCAGTAGCAGTAATGCTAACCAATCAGCACTCAGTAGCAGTAATGCTAACCAATCAGCACTCAGTAGCAGTAATGCCAACCAATCAGCACTCAGTAGCAGTAATGCCAACCAATCAGCACTCAGTAGCTATAATGCCAACCAATCT